CTTCCTCAAGGACTTCTTGTCTTGCTTCCCCCATCTGCTAAATTAAATTTTAAGGCTTTAACTGGGGCCCCAGCAGAATAAGTTTTGGATTTTGCAAGCATAGCCCTTAATTCAATTTAACTGCTGGGACAACCACCTCATTCACAGGCAGGCAGTACGGAGGGGATGATTGGGTTACTCCTTGCTGCGGCTCTGGCTGGAGGAGGCGAGGTTTGCAGGTTCCCTGGGCGGCTGCTACACAGTGGGCAGGAAGGAAGTCTGGGGAGGGGGAGAAGGATACTGGAGGCTGAAGGGAGGAAGGCAGGGGGCCCGTGGGGAGGAGGTGTCTGAGTCTTGCACAGGGTGAAAGGGAAAAGCCACACAATAGATGAACGGGTGCCAGATATCTGTGTTTTCAGGAGGAAGCCAGACCTGGAAAAAAGTCTTCCTACCCCCAACAATTAAATACACCCCACATCCCGAGAGAGCAGAAAAAATAAAAACTAAAACAGCCTGCAGTGAGGGTAGGGGATTCCACAGTGAACCTGGGAGGAACTCATTTACTCAGAAGCACCTTGTGAAGTTGTTTAGCTGGTCAATACTGTGGGGCCAGGGCAGCTAGACATCTTCTGTGGTCTCTGGCTTTGTCACCTCAGGGGGTGTGGGGCACAGGGCTACACTGTGCAAAAGGGGTGTCACACCTGGGTCCGTGGTTTGTGGCGGGGGAGGAGGCTCCTGTGTGGCTGACCCCCATCCTTTCATCTCCGGGCCCTTCCATGGCACTCGGCCAGGGCTGACATTTGTCACACGTGTGAAGGAAATGACTTTTGTAAGACCTCAGGAGAGGGGTGGTGATGAGGAGGGAAACAGGTTGGCCTAGGACCTCTTGGACATTTTATGTTCCCCTTGACTTGTGCCTCAAGGACTCCTGGGATCTCACACCAGACAATTTTCTCAGGGAGTCACACAGCCTCAAAGCTATTCTGCCAAAACAGAAAACAAAAATTAACTTTAACTCAAATTCACTCCAATTTAAAACATGAACATGCACCCTCTGGCATTCTTATGAATAAATGAAATGTTACAGAAAAAGTAATTAATATTTCAAGGCTCCCAAAGATCTTGGGAAGTCACAACTTTAGGGGTATAAGGATTCTGGGAAAACCTTTACTGGGTGTTTCAGTGCTTTCTGGTCTCTGCTGCTGTAGGACAATGAAGGTAGGGGATTCCACAGTGAACCTGGGAGGACGTCCAGGCATCACTGCAGCCCGGCTGCCCGAGGGCCCCTCGCCCTCTCCCAGGGAGGCAGCCCAGGGGCTGTGCTTATCATGGCTCTCAGGGGCCTGAGATTTCCTAAGCCTCCCTCTATTTGCCAAACACTTAAAGGTATTTAATTTAATTTTAATTTCAAACGTATTTAATACCTATTCGGTTGAGTCAGACCTTTTGACTGACGGAAAGCCAGAACTGGGTAAAGGGAAACCCTGCAAAATCATTTTATATTTAGAGAAACGTTCGAGAAAAGATTGGATAGAGACAAAGGGAAAGACAATAAGGAAGCTGTACCCTGTTGTTCCCCAAAGGGCCTTGGATGAAATACCCGTTTCTGGGGAAGTTTGTCACTAAAATGTTTTTTGGGATCAAATAAATCTGGAGACTGTGACCGACTGGAGCCCCGTTTGGAGATGCCCAGAGCTGGAGAGTGCCCTGAAGGCTCTGACCAGGCCTGCAGGGAGGAAAGCTGGCGTTGAGGATATAACCAGGCATTTCCCAGGCTGCCCTGAGAACTCATGCTTCCTGTGGTGGTGCATGTACCATACAGGAAGGAGTAAAGGAGAAAAAGAAATGGACGCAGGTGACCACGACTGCAATTTTAGAGAAGAAATTCTAACAGAATTGGGACATGTATGATGCATGATGCAATTCTGAGAGCTAGGACAGAAACAGGTCCCACAGATATGCACGGGACACCTTTTCCTGGAACAGGGAACTCAGAAGGATGCTTTCTTCCACCCAAGCACAGAACCAAGCCACATGGAAAAAGAGAACCAAGTCGGAGATTAAATCAGGCAGCTCAAGGCTTATACGTAAGGATCGAGGGCAAACGGAAGCAGCCAGCCTTGATCAGCACGGACACTTTGGACAGGACACCAGTGCTTCACCTGCTACCAGGCCTGGGACTGGAAATAAACTGCCCGCAGCAGAAGCCTGTGCAGGTTTGAAAGGGAAAACTCTTAATAGAGGAGTTTTGACAGAAACACACAGAAGGCCATGTAAAGATGGAGGCAAATATTTGGCTGAAGCAGCCACAAGTTAAGGAACACCTAGAGCCACCAAAAGCTGGAAGAGGCAAGGAGAGGTCTTCTCTTGATTTTGAACTTCTGGCCTCCAGAAGTGTGAGAGAATGAACTTTTAATGTTTTAAGCCAAAAAAAGAGGAGTTTTTAATCTTTGTAGAATCAAAATTCATTCATTCCTCTAACCATCCACCCATTCAATACAATGTATTGATTGTCTACCTGTGCTTCCGGGCTGAGGGTACAGAGAGCAAGCCAGGATCCTGCTGTGTTTGTTCTCCCCATTGGGCAGAGGAGATGGAAACGAATAACTACCAGCCACAGTGTTAGGTTCTTCAGTAGTGTGATGACTGGGGCCGCTGAACTGAGCCCAGAACGCAATCCTCAGTCCCAGTGCAGCTTCTCTATGTTGATGCCGACAGCAATTAAACAGTGCTTCCTCAGTCACTGGAGCAAACCAACAGATGGTGGTTTAATTGCGTACAAAACCAAACATTAACTACTGGGCATGGCAATATATCTCTCCTCCTGAAGGCTCATATCAGACAATGCCCTGGAAGATGCTAAAAAACACCAAGAAAATAAAACGTGGAAACTTGGAATTCAACCCAAGCACCTCCCTGCTTTCTAACCTCTATCAAACTGCAGTGTGGGTACTGTGTGCTTCATGGGAGCATTGGGCCGAATGAAGAATGGCTTCTTATAGAAATGGCAGAATAGAAAGCTACTCACGAAGCCTCTTCCCAAAGATAAAGAGTTTTTATCAAGTTACATGTGATAGCCCAAGAAGCATGTGCGGAATTTGGCCCTTATGGTTTCCTTGTTTCTGGCCACATTTTCATGTTGCCTGTGTTTTAAGCCTACGAAGCTTCTGACTCTATGCAAATGCTGTTTTAATAAGGCACTAATTGCAGTCATGGGCAGGGCACTTATGGCTCTCGGAATCACATCAACACCCCTTGGCCTAATCTTCAAAAATGGACCACAAGCTATTACTAGGCTATAAAACCCTCTTAACTGTGCACGCTTTACCACAGACACCTGAACACAATGAGAAGCAGCCCGAGAGTTACCAGCATTCCCGAAGAGCCCAGTTTCAAAGGTCACCATTTCCGTCCAGCTGCCTCTCTGTGGTGCTGCCATTTACACACGGTGGGAGCTGGACACCAGCCTGTTTCTGAAGGACCCCGGCTGCCGTCTCCACTCTAGGTTTAGTAAGGGTGCACTGACAGACACTGTGCACAGAGCCCTGGCAGACCCTTCCTCATCTTCCTGGGTGTCCTCCTGAAATGTCACATGCCCAGAGAGGTCTCCTGCCCACCCTCCACCCTAGCTACCCTAGCTCCTTCTTGTTTGTTTCCTTCATAGTTGCCACCCTCTGTAACCATTTCTAGTTCTATTTATTTTCTTTTTTGGGGGTCTGTGCTCACTAAGTGGAGAGCAAGCCCTATGAGAGAAAGAACAATGCCTTCCAACCTCACCTTTGTATGTTCTAGAGCACAGACAGGGCGTGTTGACTGAATAAAAAAGAATACGGTGACAACAACATCTGAGACAACTTGGAATAAAAGAGGAAAAGGAAGATCACTTGCTAGTTTTGTTGATGGAAGTTCATTTCTTGTTGTTGCCTCTTATCGTTCACACAACTGACATCTCCTGTGCCTATTTGGACCAAAATGTTGGGGCAATCACCAGAAAATGCATCCATCTAGGTTCCTGAGTGTTCACCAGAGCCAGGTGGGCACATCTATTCCAGGTAGTGCCCTTCACCCTGTCCTGCTGAACCAGGTCTCAACAGAGATCAAGAGTCAGGGCTGACAGTAGTGACCCCGAGCTGAGAGTAGACTGTCTGCAAGGCAAGCAGGTAGAGGGCAGGAAATCTGTAGGAATTTGAGGGCAGATAGCAGTAAGCAGAATGCCATACTATCTGAAAGATTCCTGGCCTTTGGAGTAGAACTCCATCTTGCCTCCAGGCATTTTCTGGGGGGCTCAAGTGGCAGGAACCCACTCCAACAGAAACGGTTAAAATCCTCCACCTGAGAACTTCCATTTTGCCACATTTAGCTGAAGGTAGGGAAGATATGGGAGCATGTCAGTGGAGGACAGAAAATCAGCAGCTGCTGCTAAGCAAATCTTTTTATACCTTCAGAAAACCAGCAGGCTGAGCAACTAGAGTAACATCCATCCATCCATCCATCCATCCATCCATCCATCCATCCACCTATCCATCCATTATCCATCATCCATCATTCTATTATCCATCCATCCATAACCAGTTGGCATATTGTAATGGACCCAGAGCACTATGCTAGACCCTGTGAATAAAGAGAAAAAAGACTCAGCACTGCCTTCGATGGGTTCATGGTTAGTGGGGAGATAGGCAACTAAACAGATAAATAAAACATAGCCATCTGTGCTATAACAGAATCTGTACTGAGAACTGGGAGCAAGGAGGAGGGTGCCCCACCCCCACAACTATGCCAAGGAGGTGAAATTTGAGCTGGTCCTTGAAGGAGGACAAGGAGTTTTCTAGGTGGAGAAAATGGGGTGGACTTGCTTCAGAATCCTTCCCATCACTGTGCTCCAGGAAGCAACACTGACCTATCAGATCTGGCCCATGAGAGAAAAACTCTTTGCTACCCTTGGTGTCATGGAAGCCAAGAAAAGAAAGGCTTATACAAAGGAGAGAGAGAGCAGAAGCCATTTTAAATACTAGAGAGGCAGAAGAGAACAAAGCCTGAAAGAAGCCAGCTGGGCTACGTGGATAGGGGGTCTTGTGGACCATGGAGAGCAGTTTGAGCGCCGCAGGACAGTAGTCAGTGCGCAGGATTCCAGCAGATTGCAGGCACCCCGGGTGCTGCCTGCCCACGGTGGCACTGTGCTGGGAGCCGGGAAGTTTAAGCTGTAATTGCCAGGTTCCTGGTGACACACTGTGATGCCATCAACCTTATCAAGAAATAAAAATAATCTGATTTTGAGAAGCAGTTAACATTTATAATTACATTAACCATTACATTTTCTCTCTGTGGATAATTTTCCAAACCTGTTTTAAGGATCAGTAAACATCTTACTCCTAAGATACATTAGATGAACCCATATGCAGTATGCATTTTGTTTGCATATCCCACAATTGCATTTGGAGGACATTGAAAGATTTTTTTTTTAAATCACCAAATGCAAATGGCTGCCGATGTTGGAAAAGCATTTGTCAACAATATTTTCTGCTTTCTATATTTATAACATGTGGCTTAAAACACATAAGACAATCCCGAGGTTGCCTGGAAATGGCTCTGCAGAAGGAAATGGGCACTGCAAGGTACTTAGCCCCAGGAGTCATCCAGCTCTGGCTCCAGCCTGGGTTTGACCTTGGACGAATTGCTTAACTTCTGCAATCCTTTGTTTCTTCATCTGGAAAGTGACAGGCCTGGCCCTGGGCACTCCAGTTGAGAGAAAGTCTATGATTCATCTCTGGCCAACCCACCTTTACACCCAAATTCATCAGGAGGCACCCACATCAATAATTTATATACACCTGCAGGTCAGCTCTGCAATAGAATCAAGTTTCCTCTATTTTTCTGCTTCCAATTGAATTCAAACTCCCTGTCCCCTGCCATCTAATGACACCACCCAAGGTCTGTAGAGGTCAGAGTTGATGACATCTAAGGTGCTTTCAAAGCCCAACATTTCTAGGAAGGGACCATCAATATTAATTAAATGTTGGCAGATCTCAGGATTCCTTAGTATTCTCAAAAATGTGCAAGCTCACCCATCCTGCGTGCCCACGAGGAATTTGGGTCTACCTGCAGATCTGGTTACTGTATCAATTGGGCCACATCCAAAGGCCACAACACTCTGCCTCCTGAATTTCAAATGTGTTCTTACTGAAAATTCTGATGAATACCTAAAGAATTAAGCAAACTCCTGGCCCAAACCATTAAAGTCATCGGGTATTGTTATCATTACCCCTGACGATAAGTTAGAAATCAGGGTCTTGTGTTGACACATGCATTTCTTCAAAAATTATGCAATGAATGAATAGCTGTGAAAGGACCCAGAGCAAGGAGAAGGGGGGCAGCACCTAACCCCATCCAGACACGAGAGTCCTTCAGAGCTGATACCTTAGCCCAAGGATAGGTAAGCTCTCAGCTCTTTGGCTCCTGGATTTGTCTTTGCTTCTCTGCTCTTTCTCTTCATTCTCATTTCCAGGGTCTGCTTCCTCTGCACAGCCATCAAAGGCTGGTTTTCCCCAGGATTCTGTCATCGCCCTCTTCTTCATCATTATATGTAATCTTCCAAGGCTCACTCATTTTTCTGGACTTAAAAATGTGTCTGTTGCATAATAGCATAAACAATAAAGTTAAAAAATGTGCATTTTTCTGATGAGACCTGGACCCTGAGCATCCCCACTGGGAGCACAGAGACAGGGGGAAAGAGCAGGAGTCCCCCTGCCCTCCACACAACGTGCGATCTAAAGCTCAGTGAATAGCACCACCAGCCACCCTGCTTTCTGAGCCAGAAACCTGGATCCACCTCAGACTTCTTCTCTCTCCCCCCTAACAGGTCACAGAGTCCTTTCCGAGATACTACTCTTCTCCTTGCTGCCACCTTCTCTCCATGTCAACTGCTACTGCCTTAATCTGGATTCCCATCATCTCGCTCCCGAACCATTTCCATAGCATGATCTGGTCTCGCTACCCCCACTTATCCTTTACTGCAGTCAGAATGATCTTTCTCCAATGAAAATCAGGTCATGGTCTCCTTTTATTGTGTCCTTCCATGGCTCTGTAAGTGGAGTCCTTCATTTCCACCCCCAGGAACTTCTTGCATCTTCCTGTGGCTGTTTCACACCTCCAGGCCTTGTCATCTGCCTGGACAGCCAATTCCTTTGCCTGTCTGGTGGGTTCTTATTCATCCCTTGAGACCCAATTCAAGTTGTACCTCCTCTGTGAAGACAACCTTCACCCTGTTCTACCCTCTTCTCCACAAGGCGCACTATGCAGTTTTCTTGCCCCCATCACTTACTGGGGTTCTTCCAATTGCAAGTGGACCATGGCTGGGCCTGGAATCATCTGAGGACTTGCTCACTCACACGTCTGGAACCTGGGCTGGGAAGACTCTAACAGCTGGGGCTCCTCAGGAGGCATCTCTTTTTCACTTTGTCTCTCTATGTCAGAGTAGCCTGACATGGCACCTCAAAGCTCAGAAGGTACATGGAGAGAGAGAGAGAGAGAGAGAGAGAGAGAGAGAGAGAGAAACAGGCAGAAGCCATTTAGCCTTTATAACCCACCCTCACAAGTCCCGCAGTGCCACTTCTACAACATTCCATTGATCCAGGCTGGCACAAAGGCCTGCCCAAGTAATGGGGAGAGGACATGGACTCTACCTCTTGATTGGTGAACATCAAGGTTCTGGAAGAACATGTAGGGCTGGAAATATTGTTGTGAGCATTTTTGGAAAATACCATCTGCCACACTCTGTTAACAAGGCTTCATCCTACTGTGAGTTCTTGGTTATCAGCATTCCATTGAACAAGCACCCTAGCAAACAGTACTTCTACATATCTATGAAAGATGGACTTCGATGCTGGAAAGTCCATTCAGAGTCCCTGTGAGATCCCCGAGCAACTGCTGAACCTCCAGAAAGCCTTAGACTTTTCAGAGTCACCCATGGATGATATCCAGCTGCTCATTACTTGGAACTGAAGGAATCAGAGAGGCATGTGGGCTCCCAATCAATTCTGCCACAAACTAGCTCCCTGGTCTCAGGCAACGTGTGAGTCTATAAAAACCGGGGGCTGACCTAAGTCCTGCCTGGGCCATTCTGTGGTTTGACTGGTATAAACCTGGCTTTGTCAAGTCCCAACAGTTACCATAGAGATATTTTCCACGGTGGGGCTCTCCACCTGGGTTGTTTGTGGCCATCTCCTCTTGGTAGGAACCAAAGGACCTACACACCTGGCCTAGTTAGGAGCAGGGAGAAATCAACTCAAGATAGAGAAGCCAGTGGAGGGAGAAAAGTGCACAGGCAGAGTTAAAACGGGGAACAGGCAGCCTGACTATAATGCTGTTGAAGTTGACATTGGCTCAGAACCATTAGGGTGGGTGAACTAGGCTGGTCTCCTCAGCGAGATAAGGAAACTGTAATAAACCTTGCTCCAGCTTGTCTCTCTTTCTCCCCCCACCCCCCAGACAGGTGCTTTTCCTCTTCTAGGGTAGAGTATTTAACATAAATACACAAGGTTTGCTAGGCCAACTTATCCCATGGAGGGGCCCCTCGGGTGGTCAGAATTAAATCAGAATTTTTATTACTGCCTTGGCTCGAGTTGAAACTTGTCCCATCTGGTTGAAATGAGGGACATATTCTCCTGTTGTGCAAATAAAAGATAATAATAAAAAAAGCTGAGGAATTACAAATGGACTTTGCAAAAGAACTTAGGTGGTTCCAAATTCCCTAGGGATTTTAGGGGGGAATTTAATTTCTCTGTTGTCACTTAAAGCAGCATCATGGTGTGTGTTCTTTGGGTTTTTCCTCTTTGTTGAACGTACACAAATGGCCAGGAAAATAACGATAGAGAGAAAGTGTCTAATGAAAGTAGTTTTAGGAGGGTAGCAGTGGTCTTCTACTGGACTGACCTTGCTCCTGCGGCAGCTTCAAACAAGGGCTGTTGACAAGCCTGGCATCCTCATCTCTTCCTATGGATTATTCATATTGGATGCTTTCCAGTAGACCAAGTACTGGGGACATAACCACTAATAAAATGTTCTTTCCTCCCAAGCTTATACTATGCCTTTTATGTTATAATATATTGAAGAAGATTGGTGGGGGGGGGGATCACTATTTTACTATAACTGCTATTGATATTTTGATGTATTTTCTTCCTGGGTACATAAAATATGTATGTGGCTGTAATAATACTAAATATAAAAAAATTTATCCTGCTTTTTCTGAAAAAGACCATTAACTAGCGCTATTAGCTAAGGCGCTAAAAGGCAGGGGGAGAGATTTCCCGGAACAAAGTCAGGAGCGTGTGGATAAATCAGTGCAACTAGAGGCCTTGGTTGCTCTGAGACATCACCTTTGGGGTCTTGTTTGTTAGTTATCCTAAGACATATTCGGCACCCTCCTCCCTCATTCTTCACAACACAAACCCACAGCAGTGCTGTCCAGGGCAGAAGGACTAAGGATGTGCTAATAATTCAGTCTCACACAGCCCACTCAGTTTCTATTGAGTCAGCTGCCACACTCAACTCCCACCTCCTCCTGAGGACACAGGGTCTTGCTGGGCTAAAGCAAAGAGCACCCAGCGGTTGGGGGCACTGCCTTTGAAAGCCTCCGTTAGTGCTGGCCTGGGAGAGGTTATTGTTTGAACCTTCGGTCCTGCTCCATTATATCTTTCACTCCAAAACCTGAAACAACACCAAACCCTTGCCGAAGAGACGGCAACCTGAGGAAGACAGACCCAGTGCCTCCGTGCAGAGTTTGTCTTCATTGCTCACCTTGCCCAGTCACGGTGGTGGATAGAGTGTGTGTGGGGCGTGGAGCTTGTACAGTCCGGGAGCCCTGCACATAGGAAAGCAAATAAGACACAATTTGGTACAGGGTTTGGGGAGCGTCCCAGGCAAGTGAGAGTCCCCTTCACTGTGTTAAGTTCACAGTAAACCCACCCTGGCTGTCACCTTCACAGCCCTGCCCTGGGGGAGGAGGCCTCCCCTTTGCTAATTTGCCCAAGTGAGAGGGGGTCAGGATGGTGTGGGAGAACAGCCCTGGTCCTGGCCCTTAGCACGGAACTCTTGTCCCCAGAGAGGCTGGTATATGCAAAATGAATGTAAGCAAAAGTGACAGGAAGAGTTAGAGAAACAAAGATGATGGAAAAATGGACCTCCTAATCCCACATGACGTGTATCCCCGCATTCCTGGAAGGGAGGAGTTGGCCTGATGTCTTGTTCTCTCCTGGCATCTCTGCAAATTCCTTTCCTGATAAGAACTTAAAACATGTAACACAGAGGTTCAGTGAGTTTCCTGGGGAGGTCTTCATGTACTAAATGGCTGGTTAAGTAAGGTGCTCAGAGCAGTGCCCAGCACCTAGTAAGTGCTGTGTGCTTGTTATGATGATCTCCAGTATAGTAATAATAATATTATTATCATTTATTAATAAAAAAGGGTTTCCATGGAAGTTGAGGTTCTCCCATCAGCCCTGAGTTCTCTTTCCTACATAGCAAGAGTAGTGCTTTTAACTGTGTACCCACCGAAGGTGCAGAGCCCCGGGCCCAGCATCATATGTTAACACTCATAGCAAGCTGTCTAAACACAGGGAGGGAGCAGAGGTGGTGAACTTCCAGAGAGCTCTGTGCTCGCTAACAAACCTAGGGGCGGTTTCCATCGGGCTTACTCAGCCATGTAGCATTTGAGATTTTCCTTTCTAGGACTATCAGGCTTTTAATCAAATGCATTGCATTGATTGTAGCATTTATTGAGCTCCTACTATGTGCTAGGCCATAGGCTAGGGGACAAGTGAGGATTATGAGATCATGGCTACCAAGACTTAAATTATTGTGCACCTATTAAGTACTAGGCACTATACTATGTTCTTTGGGGTCCATGAGCTTGTTTTATGCTCAGAGCAGTCTTTAAGGGAGACATGGTTAACCCCATCATATAAAAAGAGAAACAGAACCTAAGAGTTAAATAAAAATTCTCAAGGTCACATGCTAATGGCTACTGGCGTTAGAATTCAAACCCACAGTCTCTGCTTTAAGCTGCACTTTCCTTCTTTTTTATTCCTCTCCTGTCCATAAGGGGATCATATCCTTGGAGAAGCAATCAATTTCTGTCTTGTTGCTTCAGCATCCCTATGTGTCCTTAATTGGAAAGATTTTGAATCAAAATAAGTTACTAGATGGTATTATTTCCTGGATTGAAAATCAGGTTGGATTATAGATATTTCTTTGTTATTTAGAATTCATTTTTATTACAGAAGTAATTCATGCTCATTGAAGAAAATCTTTCAAAGGCAGATATTTATTGATACAAGAATAATTAATTGGCCACAATTGCATTATCTGGAGATAATAATTGTTAACATTTTGGGGTTCACCTTCTCATCTTATTTCCATGTGATAATTTGTTATAAAGTTGTTGACCAGATCACCAATATAGTAAAAGACTACTTTGAATATTTAAACATTCTTTAAAATACAGTTTTGATGACTTCCTAACCTCCCAGCATATGGATAGCCCATAATTTATTCATCTGTTCCTTAATTCCTTTACCTCTACAGACAGGGCCTCCATCCATCAAGGAGTGTGTGTTTCCGTATTGCACAAGGGCTCCTGTTCGAGGGGGTGAAGAGGGGGAGGCTGAAGTCTAGGGCATCACATTCACAGGCTGCAGGGTGGAGGGGAAAACAAGCAAGAGAATGTCTTTTTCTAATTAGCACTAAGGCTCCCAGAGGCCAGCAGCAGCCTTGATGATAGATGATACTCTGCTGAATTGAATATAGAAAGTTCTAGAGTATTATCTGCTGTTGGCAACTTCTACTAACAGAGCCCGCTACCCCCTGCATTAACTTCTGTGTCTCATTTTTCAAATGAAAAAAATTAAAAGTTTATATCACTGCAATTTATTTCTTTTACCATTAATTCCATTGCACCACCTTTTTTTAAAAGAGCTATAGTTACACAGAATCATGGTTCTGCGGGTAATGGGAGATTTTTCCATTTGTTTTTATTTCCACAATGCAATGTCATGAGTATTTTAAATGTGGCAAAAATATACAACCACTAAAGATCATTTATAGCAAATGCAGTTATGATTGATTGAGAGTATACTAATACAGGCTACACAATAATGCCAAGTCCTCGGGTTTATATATTTCCAGGAAAGGAGTGGGACTTCTGTATGTTTGAGGGATGTGGTCATAACGCTGAGTGGCACTGAGTTTTCCCCCAATGGTTTCGGCAGGAGCAGAAGGTCGCCACGGTTGTATAGTGTCCGGCTCCATTATAGATGATCGTGCAGAATGGTAAAGGGGAAATTAGTGGTGGTTAAGATGATTCTTTTTCTATTAAGAATTAATGACATTTATTATGGACCTGTTTCTCTAGCTGCCTTTGCCACAGGAAATGTGTTGGCCTGTAAATTACCTGATACATTTCACATGTCCCTGAGTTTTGGCTAATGTACCCGTCCGTGGATGCAAACACCCATTTACATGCTGTAGCTCTGTTCTGAGCATAGCTCGGGGAACAGACAGCCCGGTCTGGAGTTTCCACTGCTTTCCCGGCTGAAGTCCGGGAGCAGGCCTCGCAGGGCTGCAGCTGACAGCTTTAATCCTCTGCTTGGAGCAGAGAGGCTGCGAACGTGCAGACCGGAGCTTGGGGCTGGCCTAGGGTTAGCCTTTCATTTTCAACCAAGAAATGCCGGGGGAATGGAGAGGAACCGTGACTTAATAGGAAGGCTTACGTATGGATGCTTGCCAGCGAACTGTAATAATAACAGCAACTTCATCTTCATTTTCCACTAAGGAGTGTGGGTTTTAGACATTCCCAAAAGTTAAGAAACACATGGCCATAACAACAGTCTGTGAATCAGGGCAGAATCGTGTAGTTCTTTGAAGAGCCTCTCTTCAAATTGAATTCAATTTATACAGCAAAAATAAATGTTCGCCTTCATATAGAAAATGGATATAAGACAAGCATGTGAAGTACTAAACAGGTATATGAAGCTTTCTGTCTAGTTGTTTTTCCTTCCTCCCTTCCATTTTTCTTCTATTTTTCAAATATATTTTTTGTTGATTTCAGAGAGGAAGGGAGAAGGAGAGAGACATGGAAACATCAATGATGAGAGAGAATCATGGATCGGCTGCCTCCTGCATGCCCCACCCTGGGGATCGAGCCTGCAACCCAGGCATGTGCCCTGACCAAGAATCGAACCGTGACCTCCTGGTTCATAGGTTGATGCTCAACCACTGAGCCACGCCGGTGGGGCCCTTCCCTTCTTTTTTATCTTTGTAAGGCTTGTATGTGTCTGGAGGGAGGGGACCTCTGCCCTGGGTCTAGTTTTGAAATTTTGGACACAGCAGAAAGCGGCAGTAGCAGAGTAAAACTTAGAGCCCCTTACGAGCTAGGTGACTTTGGTAAGTCCGCTCAGCTCTTGGAGCCTCAGTTTCTGCATCTGTAAGATAGAGGTGCAGGTTATCAGGAGGTTAAAATGTCCACGTTGTATAGCAGTGCTGGTCATTGCTAATAAGGGCAGGAGCATACGTCATCACCGCCACAGGATGAGACTGGGAGCAGTCCTTGCCCCCACACCCGCTCTCACGGTGGTCACTATTGCACATGCGGAGGGAGAGCCAGGAAACCACCTGTCACTCAGTCACCACCTGTTTGGACTGAGAAATTCATGGAAACCCCCTCCTAGGGGGTCAGTTTTCTCAGGCATGACATGGGGGAGTGGGAACTGGAGGCTGTTCTGGGTGCTTTGGGAGATAACTTCTCTGAGTCTAGAAATAAATCCAAGGGGCTAAGACACGGGATTCTGCTTTCTCGCCGGCGGGGATCAGAAGCCGAGATAATGACTTAGCGCTTACCTCCCGGCCACGTCTGCTGCCTTTCCCCTCCAGTCTTCTCCGCTCTGGCTTTGACCTTTTGAGTTTGAACTGTCAGCAAGTTGATCAATGATACACTTTGTGTGGCTCCTTTAGTCAATATAAGGTCTAAAGAGCCACTTTTTCTTTTCCTGTAAACAACACGTGCTTATGAACCCAAAGGGGATTGGAGGAAAGTATTGTGTTGTCTCTCCACACACACACACACACACACACACACACACACACACACACACACACACTCCAACAGTGCTGATGTACTTTAAAGTCTAAGAAAGAAGATGAGTTTTAGTTTCACTCATTTCAAGCCTGCTGCTCAGGCCTTTCCCTCGGGCTACATGGGGCCCTGTACCTTACTCCTCCTTCCCGAATAACATTAAAATTCAATTTCAAACTTTCTGCCTTAATGACACCCGAGGGGCCTGAGCAGGGCTTCAGCGGTGTGGCCTTTCCAGGGCTTTGTCCTGGGTGCCTGCAACGGCTGGGCACCCTCTGCCTGGCCTTTCTGGGGTGGGAAGGCAGCATTCTAAGTGCTGCTCAATTGTTTTAACAGGAAAGGGAGAGAGGGAGGGAGGGGAGAGAGAGAGAGAGAGGAGAGAGGGATAGAGGAGGGAGGGAGAGAGAGAAAGAGAATGTGTGTGTGTTCTTCCAGTCACAGAAAGTGGAGAGAAAATAATTCACCTCGATTTTATCCTACAGTGAAGATCATTTACTCATGATTTCAGGAGGAGCAAATAGCCTTTGTCTTTGCCCCTCCCTTCTGTCCATGCACCAGCTGTCGTCTGATAGGACATTTCAGAGCGTCGGTGTGTAAATGGCTTTTGCTCTAACTCTGTCCCCTCCACGTGGGATGCAGGAAAGCAAATTCATGTCCCTGGAGGGACAGGTGGCCCAATGCCCTTCCATCAGCCTGTGTTTCCACTCAGTGACCTGATGGCAGTCTGCCTGCTTCCAGGCCTCCAGCAGCCCAGACGCTTGGATCCTTTCTCATCACCTGCTGCGATGCTGAATGGGAACTGGTGCTTTTGATGTTAAAGTTTGGAAAATGCGATTTTCCCCAACACCAAAGAGTACTCCTGCGTATCCCCGAGCACTTAGAGACAAATGTGTGGATGATTATTAAGATAAATACTGTGTCTCTGATCCAGCAAAAAATAAGGGACTTTCCCACATAACGACCATTTTTAAAATCTGAAATCTGTTTGGAAAAAATATGCAAAAGGCAAGAGTCAATTGCTTAACTTCAAGTTTAAGATCTGAGAGGGAAAATCAATGGTAAGTTTTCCCAGCAACCGTCAATCACCCTCCTTAATAAAACTCTTAAATCCAAAATGCCCCCCTGCTCCTGACTGCAGCATTTACAATAAGACCTTTTATTACAATTATGAATGTGGAATACTGGAAAATAACTTACATTTGGCAAGCAAAATGGTAATACTGTACTCAAGAATTCTCTTATTAAAATGCACACACACTTGAGATTTATCGGTCTTTTGTCTTGTTGCGTTAAGTTCTTAAGCTGATTTTTGATATTACTCCTGTGGCATTTTAAAGCTTTTGTGCTTAAACTGCACATTCTTTTTCTCCAAGCACAGATATTTCAAGATGAAGTAGGCAGAATTTCAAAGAGATAGGGTGGCTAAGTGATGAATGAATGTATTTACCGTGTAACAGAGAATAAAATGCGCCAACATTTTTCTCCTGAAATCAGATTTTTTTTCCACTTCAATAATATATTGTAATATCGCCTCCTCTTTGGGACAATGCATATATGGCAGACTGTGGTTTTCCTCTTATTTTTCTGGATTATGGGTCAGAGTGACCATTTAATATGAATGGGTCAGAAACCCTTGATCCCTCGCTCTCTGGGCCCTTTCCTATCCTTCGGCACCTGCGTCACATTACTTTTCAGACATTTCAATGGCTTCCCTGAAGCGCTTCCTCTCTCTCCTTTATGTTCAATTCCTCCCTGTTAGCCTACCATTCGGTAATGGCTTTGGCATCTCTATGCTATTCGTTTTCATCCCTTGGCCAGCCTGTGATATTTCTGGAGGTAATCTGATGAATTGGTTTGAATAACTCAATTTGGAGAATAGCTAACAGGCAGGGGAAGCGAAGGTCTGAATAACGAGGCCCCTCACTAAAGAAAATACAGTGGAGGCGGAGGCAGGTGTCAGGGACTATGGGCCCACTCCGGCTGGGATTGTGGGGTGTTAAGTATGAGCATTCTTAGAACTTGAGGCAAGAATAGGGAATGAGAATCCATTCTGCCTTCTCTGGCAATCTTGGGGGTGAGGGGTGGCACTTTGTTTATTGTTGCATTGTTATTGCCTTGGAAAGAGGAATAACTACCAAATCAAGTTCATGTTGACCTGAGCCCCTGCTACAGGCTACAAAGCCGAGGGAGGTGTAGGTGGGGATATGGAAGAGCATCAGCTACCGGCAGGAGAGGTTCAGGGAGCGCAGTTGGAAACCAGGGTGGAATATCTAACCTAAGGTGGCCTGTGAGCCTTTGCCTGATGAGTGGTTTAGACCTTGAATAGAGGAATAACTACCAAATCAAGTTCATGTTGACCTGAGCCCCTGCTACAGGCTACAAAGCCGAGGGAGGTGTAGGTGGGGATATGGAAGAGCATCAGCTACTGGCAGGAGAGGTTTGGAGAGTGCAGTTGGAAACCAGGGTGGAATTCCTAACCTAAGGTGGCCTGTGAGCCGTTGCCTGATGAGTGGTTTAGACCTTGAAGAGATTCTCTGAGGTAGGTCTGTGTGAGCCT